TAGAGTTTTTAGAGTGGAAGGTTGACCATGCAACACTAATAGGACTTAAAGAACTATTCGTAAAATTTTCAAAGTTGAAAGATGAATAATGCATTATGCAATAATTTGAAGGACCAACTGTAGAATTTAGCTTTAATAGATTATATAACCCCTTTTTCCTTGATCACTCTAATTGATTTTGCTATTTTTGACCTTCCAAATGCATAAAAAAGAGTAGCCCATGGAACAATGATAATACTTTCTTCTTAGTCTATGAGGTATGAGTTGGCAAACCCATTTATGAGGCCGAGTTGGCCTTGGGGGAGATGGGGGAATGTGACCACACCAAAAATATTTAGGATTGCTCTTCATGATCTCCTTGTTCACATCACAAAGTCATCCCAAGACCTGTTCATAAAGCTTACTTGTATAGGCACACTTCTAAGTTGGGATTTAGTTTAGTCTTCTACATCCCACGATGTAGCATTCACGTATCAATGACATATCTGCATTCTTGGCAAATTTTCATGTATAAACCTTTTGAGCATCATCTTGATTTCCAGACATATCTCCAAAGAGACTCATAACCTTATTCAGTGCACAACTCTCGGCCGAAATTAGAGAGTTTTCTTGGGCGGAGAAGAGACAGCGTAATTATCAGTAGTTTTCTTCCTAGAAGGAAAATTTCTCTTTGTTTCCTTGGGTGAAAGATTTGAGATTGTTTAGGTGAAAGAGAGCTTTAAATTTTTGTTTTGTGAGGAGGATACACGTGTCAATCTTAAATATTGCCAAATGGCAAGTTCTTAAGGTATCAACTCTCAAATATTATATTAAATGATACCTAATGAAAATAGGTAAAGAAAGTGATTAAAGTTTGACCGTGTGAAAAGTAAGTGGAAAGAATATTTTAGGAAGGAGGGAGTATAAAAAATGTTAGGGGAGCTCCAAGCATTTGACAATTTGACACCAAATGCATACCAAAATCAATACAGACACACAAACATTTAATGGTGTGTGCGCACAGATATTAAATGCGTGTACAAACATTTAATGATGTGTGTGCACAGTATAGGTTGTGTCCTAATTGCCTGATATAACCTTTAAATGCATCATATCGGACCTAATCAAATCAAATCGAACAAAACAGATCTAATTGGATCAAATCAAATTCGTGTCCAATAAGACCAGATCAAATCTTCAAAAAGATCTATTTACTTCTTTACGTTGTGTCCTATTTGCCGAATCTAATCTTTAAATATGTGTATCTTGTGGAATTGACTCCATGTGAGTAAAAATTCAATTAACAAAAAAAATGTACAACTAATTTATTATTTTATTATTATAGTGGTAACCGTTAGATATTTTGACTATTTATTTCTTTGAAACCCATCCTGTACTATCATGAAAATAATTCAGTTTGATTCGGGATATAATTTGTTAAAAGCATTTGAAAACTCACTTTTCGGTTCGGTACATTATCGTTCCAGTTCGAAACAATATCGAACCAGTAATTTTGCGTACCCCTAATTGAAAGTGGTACATAAGAGTGAGAAAATTTATGGACTAAAAAACTTTTTTGTTTCAAAAATTAGAGTTCATCTCAAATTTTAGAATTTCTCCATATTTTTCTATTGCCCGCCTAATATCCCTCCCGATTTCACAATTAGGTCTATTCTTCTGGGATAGGGATAATTTCCTTCATCTTCTTCAAAATCAAAACTACCTGTTTGTATGATAGAGAACATCATGAAAGAGCTCTCAATAATATCGCCGGATGTTTCTCTCTCTGGTTTCGAAGTGAACAGTAACTCGAAATCAGATCCGGCCAAATTGCAGCTGTTTTCCGGTAGATATCACCAAATTGATTACAGATTCTTCTTCTCCAACTCAACGTAACCCCACCCATCCTACCCCTCCAAAGACGAAGGAACTCCGTGAGTTTCTTCAGGGTATCGATGTGGATATGGAGGTGGCTCTTGATGCTTCTGGGTCTGGTTTTGTCAATATCTCCGTATCTTGTAAAATTTCTATTCCCAAATCAAGTTATACCTTTTAACTTTTTCCTAGTATGATGAGTTTGGATTCAATTTCTCACGAGGTCATCTGAGCAGCCAATCGGCTTTTTGGTGCAATAATCCATAATATCTGACTTTTTTTTGTTGAGAATCCATAATATCTGACTTTGTTTGATGTCCGAATCAGTTTTATTTTAAATGTTTGGGGAAATTTATTCATCAATTGGGTCTAATATTTGACTCTTTATCACCATTAATGGCCATTTTTAGGCTTTTCCTCCATTTGTTTTAGTAACTTAAATGCTTCTGTGTAATTTTTTTTTTTGGAACTTTTTTGTTTAATTAAAATCTTTTCATGAAGATACATCCCATTCGTATTAAAGCTGAGATGTTGGGTAGCAGAAAGTAGATTAGAGATGACAGGTATTGTTCTCATCGCTATTATTTTGTGTAGAATGTTTGTATCTTGAGAATCTTGTGCTCATCTCTAATATGTTTCTTCATCCTTTTGGATATTTTGCTGTTCCACTTAGCTGTACCCTTTTTTGTTTGGTTTGGGGACTAGGCACCTTATGAATTTTTTTGTGAGTCTAAAAATGAATGTGTTCTAAACACAAGTCCTTTTTTCCTTTTCTATGAATGTGTTTTTTTTTCTTTGTGTTGTTTTTCTAGACTTGCTTGATCTAACAATTAAGAATTGGAATTTAAGAGTGGTATTTTTAAATTTGTTAGGGTTAGGTGTAGTGTCCTATCCTAAAATCCTTGTGTGGTTTATAAGAATTAGAGACTTCTTTGGATTTTTTAATTATTGAACTACATTAAGAGATTTAAACTAAAAGTAGAATACAAAGAAAAAAGAGAGTTGACGACATATAGAGTTTTATAGTGCTTAGTAGAATACATTATCAAAATGCTATAAGTAAATTAAGTATAAGTAGTACTTTTTAGTTTCTTTAAATTTCAATCCTGTACCAAAAAAATTCATTCCCTTTGAATTTCCTTTTCACTAAAAAATGTTTGATCCATAAAAAAATTTTGATCCATATTCTTTTATTAATATTTGGTCCATATTCTTTTATGTTTGATCCATAAAAAATGTTTGATCCGTATTCTTTTATTAATTTGTTGGGAAAGGAAGAATTGATTGATATCAGACCTAAGAGAACGAATATGGTTGAGGTTGTTTTATTGATGAAGATAGTTCAGAGCTTGTTCAAATGTGAGTACTTTTTTTGGCCTCCATCAATTTTGTGTTGTGTCATCAAATGTGATGAATGTCTGTTCGAGCACCTATCAAGTAGTTTGTTAGTTTTTAGCTGGTTTTTCTATTGTTCCAGCTAGTCTCAAGATGGACACAGAAGGACGCCAGGCCTTCATGGTCACAGGGCATGGTCACAAGGAGGAAATTGCAATGAAGTGTGCTTAATTTCCTAAACGGTTGCAATGAAATCTGTAAAAGAATCATGACTGCAATCAGGATTTGGTGCATTCACAGCCACAGCAGCAACCCCATCTGTTTGTGCAAGACTCCCACCACAGGATGTTTACTTTTCAAACTGGAGAATTATTTTTCTATTGGGACATTAAGCTATCCTTCTTTTGGTTTTTTTTTACTTTTATGAGTGAGATTGATTGATTGTATGGGTTCCCAATTTCCTTTGTGTGTAGCGGGATATTTGATTGTTGTCTAAAGTTTCGCCCAAAATTACGAAAGTAACGTTAGACAGCGTACACATCATATTCATTGTAGTGAAGGTTATCGTTTAATTGAACTTTAAAAAAGTTTGAGACTTAATAGCTAAACTACTGTTTTAAAAAGAGTATTCTTAACTTATTATAAACAATTCTAGCAAAACAATCATATGACATGGAAAATTAGTAATAGATTACTATATCTCATAATTTTAAAAACAGTTCTACGCTTACTATCCACACTACTCTTTAAAAGAGTTTTCTTAACTTATTCTAGACAATTGTGAAAAAAACCCGTGTGACTTCTAGTAATACATTACTGTTTCTCATAGTTTTAAAAACAGTTCTAGGCTTTATAGCCTGACTATTGTTTAAAATTAGTATTCTTAATTTATTATAGACAACTGTAACAATAAAAATCATATTTTGATATGACACAGACAACTACTAATAGATTACTGTATCTATGAACTTTAAAAACAGATGTTGGCTAAGTATTTAGACTATTGTTTAAAAAAAGTATTGTATTCTTATTATAAACAATAGTGCCCAAAAGACTATATGACATAGACAACTAACAATAGGTTATTGTTTCTCGTAACTTTAAAAACAGTTCTAGATTGAATAACTAGACTATTGTTTAGAAAGAGTATTCTTAACTTATTATTGACAACTGTGATAACAAAAACTGTATTTTGATATGACATAGACAACTAATATTAGAATACCGTTTCTCAAAACTTTAAAAATAGTTTTAAGCATAATATCTAGACTACTACTTTTGTAGCCAACAACAACAAACAGTAGTCTGATTTTTTTTTAACTACAATTTTTTCATAAACAGTAGTTAATCAACAGTCGTCTGACACGGTTTTTGGCGTAGTGCAAGGGCTTGTATCCCATTTGTACATCTCAGGTGTGTTCCAACATTTTGTGTTGGTGTAATGCTAATTTTTGTTAATGCACCAACACTTTGTGTCAGTATAAATTTTTGTTAACGTATCAACAATTTGTGTCAGTGTGAATTATCAATATGTTGCTGTATACCTTTGATGTAAGTTTGAGATACAATTTTTGATGTAAGTGTAGCATGATCCAAATAAAAAAGGGAAAAAAATCAATATAAAAATAAGAGCAATGCTAGGGATACACCAAAAGTGTACCCCATTTGTCTCCCACCCCCTTCTCTACCATCCATTTTATCTACTTTTTATTTATTTAATTTTTTTTAAATTCTTTCCCATTTTTCTAAAAATAATGGTGTATGGAGTCATTTCCCAAAAAAACAAACAAAAAAATCTGATAGTCAGGAGACATACAGTACTCCTTACAAATTTCAACTTTTAAGACTCGTTTCTACTTTCTACATTAGTCTTCTTGCTTCCGATCGGACTAAGGTCCCGTTTTCTGCAGCTCTCCAAGCTGCCATTGCCGTGAAAAATGAGAGGAATCCTCGGTGGAGCCGGCGGTGCTTCTCCTAGTCTCATAGAGCCCAGACACAGGTCCTCTTCTGCGTCTAGGTAGCTCTCTGCTCCCTCACTCTTTTTTTTTCCGCATTGATCTGTACATCTATGTTGCGAGTTTCTGATTGTTGTTTAGATTGTTATTTTTAAAATTTGGTTTCGGAACAAAATTTACGAGTACGGATTTCTATGATCAGTATGCAGTTTTGCTTGTATAGTTGTTGAATTCAAGGCGTAGTTCTGAAAATCATACGGAAGTGTGTATTTGTGTGTGCGTGTTCAGATTTCTGATTGATGGATAGAGGACAGGGAAACAATTGGACTGTTAATGTTGATCTTTGACTGTTTTGACCGTTCTGGTTAGTCAAAATATAGGAATTCTTGTTTAGAATGAGTCAGGTGAGCTAGGGGGAGGAGAGGATCAGAGGAAGTGCCAATATAATTTCAAACAAAAAATGTGTTTTTCTGACTGGCATAATCAAATGTGTTTTATTGGATTTCATAGGGTCATGGTTTAAGCTTCATCGCAATTATTCAAAAACCTATTCTATTTTTTAACTTTCAAAGGTCAAACTGATTAGCAGTGATCTATTGCGTATTGCTCAAATGAGGAAGTTCACCCATTTATTCATTTCTTTTTATGTTTACTTTGTGTGTGATATTCTACTTTCAAGTTTCAACCTAGTTTTACATTGAATGTTAGATACACTTGAATTCAGTTGGGGTAATAAAATACCAATCTGATATGCTCTTTACTGCTGATAACTTGAAAAGTGAATGGATTTGTCCTATTGACTACGTTCACTTATTACAAGCTATGTATGCACACTAAATTTCACTAAGAATTGGATGCAGCGCACCTACATGGGATATTCAAGCATCATTCTCTCTTATATTTGCATTTTTAGAAGAGATGAAAAGTTGCGCCTTAAAAAATTTCCTCTGTGCTCATTAACTTCTCATGGAGTCATGGAACACACTGTTTGTGATAAGCAATCATATTTCACTGAAAAGACATTTTTTGTACGGCAATATCTAGCCAAATGCTCTGTCTGTGCAAAAAAAGTATTGTTGGAGTGTTTGAGATGTTATTTTGTCCCGAAATACTAAAAGAGTCATATTTAAACAAAAAATGAAATGAAATAGTTTTCGTCATATTTAATGTTTTTTCACAAAAAAAACGTGTCATAGTCAAATCGATCAAGTTAGTTTTAGTTATACAAGAAAACTCAAAATATAACCATATTTATTATTTCCAAGAGTTGTGCCTTACTAAAAATTAAAAGCGGTGCCTTTGTGAAGTATGATTATTTTTATGGGACATGAGTAAATTGTCAAAAAAAATGCACGACACTAGGTCTCTTGCTCATGATCTAAAAAAGAAATGAAATTTTACTCAATCTTAACTGTGTTTCAGAGATGTTTCTAAAGCTTGAGCATAGTAACCAAATAACTTTTTTAGCTTAATTACTTTGTTTTGAATGTTGTGAAACCCCTATATGTTAGGCCCATTCCCAAACTTGTGCCCCTTCTTTAACCTAGTATCAAATATGTTCAATATGTGTCTAAGTTATTTCCTGAGTCAGAAAGTACTTAGATAGACTATACAGAATTCCATCTGAATCTCTTTCAAGAATTTGGTTCAACTATATTTTCTTCAATTCACCTGTGACATTCTTTGTGATTCTTAATTAAATGTATCTACATGATCACTCTCCAATCTAGTTCTACACTTTCTAGTTAATGTTCTATGCATTTCATATATTAATCAGATTTTGTTTCATTCAGTGAGGAGACCAATAAAAAGAAATTTTTTAGAAGTAAAAGTTCCAGGGAGGGGGATAAGGCGCTCTTCAGCCCCACTAAAGATAGGGCTTTGAACCGCAAGTTCTCTATACTGAAGCTTGTATTTGCTGTTATCGCATTGGGAGCATTATTTATGCTATGGCTTTCTCCAGCAATTCATTCTGATATTACACCAAATTCAGAATCTAGGTAATGTATTTTTCTTATTATCAGTTTTTCATTAGAAAGCCTCGCTAACTTTTGGATACTCTTCTGGTAATTTGGTTTATGCCAAAAGCAACCCAAATATTTTCCCTTCTCATATTAGTGCAGTGACAATTTTCATCTGCATTGCAAAGGAAACTGTTGCTTTTCTATGTTGAAAATGCATCACATAAACCACGGGCTTCTGATTCATTGTTCTCTATCCCCAGACACACTTTTCTTACTCCTATTTTTGAATGAAAATGGCACAGGCCAATTTTGGTTGACAAACGGACAAGAAAGGATGCTGTTGATCAACGTTATGTATCAGTATTAGATATTGAATGGGGCCAAATGTCACAAGTCATTGAGAAACTTAGTTTTGCTCATAAGTCTTTTGGTTTAGGACTGTTAAACTTTAATCAAAATGAACTTAATCACTGGGAGCAGCTATTACCTGATGCAGAGCATGTGATATTGAACCTGGATTATGTCTCAAATGATGTCACTTGGGACACATTGTATCCTGAGTGGATAGATGAAGAAGGAGAATTTGAGGTTCCCACTTGTCCCATGTTGCCTAAGCTTCAGGTTCCACTCAAACCACGCATTCATCTTATAGCAGTTAAGCTACCATGCAAGAAGCATGGAGACTGGTCAAGAGATGTAGCTCGTCTGCACTTGCAAATTGCAGCAGCGGGGTTCGCTGCCACTGCTAAAGGATATCATGAAGTACATGTACTCTTGGTTACCGAGTGTTTTCCGACTCCAAATTTGTTTACTTGCAAAGATTTAGTTGTGCATGAAGGAAATATTTGGCTATATAAACCAAATCTAAACAGTTTGAGGGAAAAACTTCAACTACCTGTTGGATCATGTGAACTTGCAGTTCCTCTGAATGCTCAAGGTCAGTTGTGGATCAGTGTTTTCATTTCATCTCATTATTCCTCCCTAAAAAGTTTGTGACTAGTAAAACTCTCACTATATTTTTGTTCATGAATTTATAGTGTTAACTAAATTTGGACACTTGCATGGTATTTGGTTTGAGGGAAGTAAATGAGATGGAGAAAGTATTCAAGAAGTTAAGGTCAATATATTATGTATCTCAGTATATCCTCTCACCTTGATGCACCAAACAATATAGTATTAAAATCTCTCCCCTCACCTCTCGTACTCTCAGTTGAACACTTGAACGACACACACCATTATAAAATTATCAATTTCATGCCTCCAACAGTTCAACCCCAAAATAGTTGGGATAAAGGTTATGATTGTGATGAATGAAGACTATGATGGTAGTAGTCATTAGTCAAGACTCTTTTAAGTCGTGATGTTGGTAATAAAGGGACCTGGTTTATGTTAGAGAGAGGTCAATCACATCCTATTCTATTTGCACTTCTATGGGGGTCTTTGAATTCTGTGACTGAGCATCGCTTCAAAGAGTGAAGATGGTTTATCCTTCATGGGTAGTAAATAGTAATTAAAGACAATATGGCTTCAGTTTAATTCTTTTTAATATTTTATGCAGAGCAATGGCACTCTGGCAGTGCACATCGAGAAGCCTATGCAACAATCCTGCACTCAGCACAGTTTTATGTGTGTGGAGCAATAGCTGCAGCACAGAGTATACGAATGGCAGGTTCTACTCGGGATCTTGTGATACTTGTAGATGAGACAATTAGTGAGTATCATAGGGGAGGATTAGAGTCGGCGGGATGGAAAATTCACACAATAAAAAGAATCAGGAACCCAAAAGCTGAACAAGACGCATACAATGAATGGAACTATAGCAAGTTTCGTCTCTGGCAGCTGACAGATTATGATAAAATCATCTTCATCGATGCAGATATGCTAATACTAAGAAATATTGATTTTCTCTTCGAAATGCCAGAAATAACTGCAACGGGAAACAATGCTACACTGTTCAATTCAGGGGTGATGGTTGTGGAACCATCAAATTGCACGTTTAAGCTGTTGATGGACCACATCAACGAGATCGAATCATACAATGGTGGGGACCAGGGGTATTTGAATGAGATCTTCACATGGTGGCACCGAATCCCGAAACACATGAACTTTCTAAAACACTACTGGGAAGGTGATGAAGTGGAGAAGAAAGAAAGAAAAACACAGCTCTTTGGTGCCGATCCTCCAGTCCTGTATGTTCTTCACTATTTAGGGTTGAAACCGTGGTTGTGCTTCCGTGACTATGATTGCAACTGGAATGTCGGGAAATTGCACGAGTTTGCAAGTGATGTTGCACACAAGACATGGTGGAAAGTCCATGATGCAATGCCGGAGAACTTGCACCAGTACTGCTTGCTAAGATCCAAGCAGAAGGCTGCACTGGAGTGGGATCGAAGGGAAGCCGAGAAAGCTAACTTCACAGATGGCCATTGGAAGATCAAGATAAAAGATCCGCGTTTACAGATCTGTTTCGAAGAGTTTTGCTTTTGGGAGAGCATGTTGTGGCACTGGGGAGAAACAAACTGGACAGACAATGCCACTTCTACTCCAGCACCACCTTCAATTCAAACTGCTTCACTCACTTCTTTATAATTGGGTGTAAATGACAGAAAACCAACACAACTTTGATAGATTTCTATATAATATTCAACTGTATTTTGTTTTCTCTTGAAGTCTACTTTATCTGGCATGCACATTGTCGCCTTCCCATGCAAAGTTTGTAGGAAAACATGCTTATATCTTTATTGGAAATATGGGAGAGAGATGTCAACGTTGCGTATCAGTGTTAGAACGAATGATATAGGCACGAAGAAGACTTGGCAAACTTATGAATCACATATAAATGCTTTCTGATTAAAATTATTACGAGGTATACCAAACATTTTCAATCCAATAAGACCTAAATAACATCAATGCTCCCAAAATATTCTTATATTCACATCGGTGCTCCGAGAATTGATATATATTTATATTCGTGCTCCAATTGTTGCGGCACTAATAGAAACATATGTCAGTGTCGGAGGACCAATTTAGGTATATAAAAAATCTAGGAGCATCAGTGTCATTTAACGGATCTCAAAATATTTATGTAAACTTGTGCTATTTTGAGAGTATTGATGTGAATCTTTTCAAAAACTAATGCACTTGTATAGAACAAAAACAATGTTTTATAAAATATAAATATTGAAAATCATATATTTCAGACTTATATGTTACATTAGTTTGAAAAAAATTAATTAATTTAACTCGATAAAATAATATATGAGCTTGTTTGAATATTCATTTTGAACAAATAGTGTGGGTATACGTATGTGTATGTATATGTATATGTATATGTATATGTATATGTATATGTATATGTATATGTATATGTATATGTATATGTATATGTATATGTATATGTATATGTATATGTATATGTATATGTATATGTATATGTATATGTATATGTATATGTATATGTAGATGTGTATGTATATGTGTATGTATATGTGTATGTATATGTGTATGTATATGTGTATGTATATGTGTATGTATATGTGTATGTATATGTGTATGTATATGTGTATGTATATGTGTATGTATATGTGTATGTATATGTGTATGTATATGTGTATGTGTATGTACATGTGTATGTAGATGTGTATGTAGATGTGTATGCATATGTGTATGCGTATGTGTATGCGTATGTGTATGCGTATGTGTATGTGTATGTGTATGTGTATGTGTATGTATATGTGTACGTGTATGTGTACGTGTACGTGTACGTGTATATGTATATGTATATGTATATGTATATGTATATGTATATGTATATGTATGTGTATAGGTATATGTATATGTATACGTATATGTATCTGTATACGTATATGTATCTGTATATGAGGATCGGCTCTAATCAGATGTCACCTCACGGTGAGATGACATGCTACGGTCAGATGACGCAAAGTTCACCACTGCAAGCTGTAAAGCTTACCCACACCGACTACAAAGCTCACCCACACTAACTCCAAAGCTCACCATTATTTTTTCACACTTTGATTTAAAAAAATCAAAGGACAAGGTGCTGACTAGATTTTTAGTCAAATCAGATTTTGATTAAAAAAATACTAAAATCAAAGGAAAAGGATTGTTCCGAATATTTTTTCCGAAAATGCTACTTTTGAGCTTTAAAGTCCTATTTTTGATACCAATCAATTATGATCAATAAAAAGATAATTTCTTGAAATAAAAATGATATTTTTGACGAATAAAAACCTTTTGTGATGTATGATATATAGTCAGCTAGGTTGTTAACGCTCGATGTTAGGCCGCTAATTGTAATTGGATATTATTATTGATTGATTATGAAGAATATTATTGGTTAATGATTATGATGGTTAAACAGCTTTAAAGAATATTCTAATTAAAGTAATGATTATGAATAATTAAATCATGACTAGATATATTGATGATCACTAAAATGATGTGTATTGGGATATTTACAAGAACTCTAAAATGTACCTATGACCAATTCAAAGATCTGGGGTTAAAACGTATGTACAGGATCCAAACAAAACTTGAGGATCACTCGTTTTGGGATATCACCTACGCGACAGTTCACTGATCGGTTGGTACGTGATCCATAAGACTCATAGGATGGATCATCGATTCTTGTGTTCTGCCTTAAACTATTTATTGTTTGAGAGCCCGGTTAGAAATATTGCCTTAGACTAGGAATAGTTTAAGAGCTTATTATCAAAATGATATGGTCTTAGATTAAGAATAATTTAAGAGCACTGTTGAAATACTAAATTATGAATATTGTATATATCATGAAATGACTTGAATTAAAATATTGTGAATATCATGAATAATGAATCCTTGAATTGAATATTATGTGCATGATATCAAATGATTTGATTATGCATTGAGATTCAATTTATATGGATATTCAACGCATTAGATATCCTTACTCAGCTTTACCGTTGAGCATGTAGTATGTTTTATCTGCTACACGCAGGTAAAGAAAAAGAATGAAGTGATGAATTCCTCGTGGCAGATGAGGCGAGATGGTCAGGATGGATGTGTGAATTTGAATTACTGTTTTAAAAGACGTAAATTTATTATGTTTGTAATTGTGATTTATTAAGCTTTCACAACTTTGAAATACTCCGTTATTATTTTGAATAATTAATTATGGAATAAAGTTTTAAAATGTTTGAAATATTTTGAATGTTTACGAATACCAAGTTTATACTTTAGTCCGAAAGGGGCTGCAGACTTAGACGGATTTGGGTGTTACAGGAGGTGCCCAAAATAAATCCATGTGGCCTTACCTATAACGAACATTGTCATACTAATGCGCGATTGAGACGAGAGTACAAGTGGTTCGATCATGTGGTATCAGAGCCCAAGTTCGTGTAGGCAGGAACGATGGATTGCGTTGTGCAGAATTCTCAGTGTGACGTGGTGTCAACCGGATTAAGAACAGAAGCAATGAGGTGCGTGCAAGGTGGAGCCTTGTGCAAAAGTCTTCTTGATAGAAGGTTGTGTCTCGTGTAACCTAGCGGACAGGAGATCAACAGTTGATGCCTTGTGTCGAAAGTCTTCCAGTCCTCGGGCAGCATATCTCGTGCGGCTGTTGCAACGATACAAGATGGTGGTAGATCTAATGGATTATCAGTGGAGAAGAGGTCACATTTGTGTGATCTTTGGTTGAGGGGATGTTCGTTAGGATGCCTCCAAATTTCAATATAATACTTTGATTATTAATATCTTTATTTATATATAAAAATATATACTACTCCGTATATATTATAAAAAATTAATACTTCCTCCATCCCCATGTATTTGTTCACATTTGACTTTTGGAACTGTTCATCTAAGCACTTTGACTCATCAAATTCTCTCAATGTGTAAGCCTAAATATAGTCATGTGTGATCTTGTTTGATTTGTCTTAACATATAGATTATTAATATATAATTTCTATAATTTTTTAATATACAAATTACAAGATAAAATGAATTAAAGAAGTACATTGGATGATGTGTAAAAATGAAAGTGGACAAATACAGGAGAACCGGAGGGAGTAATTCATAGCAATGTTTAGAGAGTAGGGTATTATACTTCATTATATTTCTTATGTAATGTATGTCCAAAATTTATAAATATTTCGAGTAAATATGAAAAAGTTACTCCCTCCGTAACAAATGAAGTGAAGGGAGGACTACAAAACTTCACCCTCAATATTGGGCTCAAAGCCTAGAAGAGACGCCGCCCTGGCTTTCTGCTGGAACGAGGAGCTCAATCAAATGGTGAAATCCTCCGTGCTCCGATGAGAACCCCTCTCTCTAACACCGCAGCTCCGCTTCTCGACGTTGTAGCACAAGAAAAGACAAAAACAAGCGGTACAACGGCTTCGCTTTCCACCTTTCCGCTCTCTTTACTGCCGCAGGTCAGCTTCTCTCTGTACCCTCACATATTTATTATCTAAGAGTTGAGTGTTTGTATGCATATATGTATGTGTTACTTCTGTACTCAGGGTTTTTCGTGATCTTATTATCATCAGATTAGGTTTCACTATTCTGCTGAATGTTGATGTAGTCAGCTAGCCAGCAAGTCACTAGGGGTGTTTGCTATTGATTGTAGGAAAAATATGTGTTCTTTACCTTGTTTGTATTCCTTTTGGTGGAATTTCTGATTCTGGCTTAGTAGGTTCCCTTTTGAGGTCAATAATTAAGTCGAACACGGTTTTATTTTACACATTTTAGGCATTTTAGGCCGGGGCTGGTCCTAAATCCCGTCCCTCTAGAACACCTACCAATGTGGAATGCATAAAACATGCAGCTATGTTGTTGTATGTGGATGGCCTTTTACTTCTGCTGCCTGAAACACAAAGGGTCTCTTGGATTCAGAAAATTCTACAAAAATATATTCAAGGTTGTTAAGGCTCCAAGGCGAGGCAAGGCGCCGACATACCTTCATATCGCCTAGGCGACTAGGTGCACATGTAGGCGACAATTAGGCGACCTATATATATATACACAAACACAAACACACACACACACACACAAGACACACACACACACAATATAACCAAAAATAGATATATGGCACAACATATGTAATTAAAGTCTACACATAATCTGAGACAAACAATTAAGTGTTCACAAGCATTTAGAAGACCACAAATAACGACATAATTCAAATAAAAGTTCATCTCCATCCTACTAGTTTAATCACCCAAACATGCAAGTTTAAAAATTATCCACGAACATGTCATTCATATGGATATCAATATCTATCCATAGACTCATCATGTACACTAGATAAGTCAACATCATAGTCATCTTCAAGATACTCATCATCAATTAGACCCAACAGAGGCGACGTTAAGTGAAAACATTTTAAATTTTGGCTTTCAAAATTTAAAAACTTCCCAAGACTGGGCGCCTAGGTCAAAGGCGAGGGTGAGGTGACCAAGGCAAGAGTAAGGCGACAGAGGCGAGTGCCTTAACGCCTCGAGGGTTTCTGGGCAAGGCGGACGGATAAGGCGTCCACGGCATAGCGCCTTATCGCCTAGGCGACGCCTCAACAACTATGAATATATTAATGACTACACACTTCTACACAATATGCAGTAATTCAGAAAAACTTGTAACAAATGTTCTATTAATAACATGCTAAACACTAATTAAAATATGGAAAATCTAAAAAAAGAACAAAAAAAGTGCAGCATTGCATATCAAAAAAGGAGAAAAAAATTAATTTACTCGCCCCGTCAGGGGAGGGGGGCGCAGTCTTGATTAAGTGCTTATGGAGAGGAGACTCAAGAGTTCCAATGGTGAGGAGGGGCCTGCCTCTTAGGGCACTAAAAGTTTGCACATGTTTGGTAGAGCAGTTGGGTTAAAACTTCAGGTTTAATAAGTAAATGCCCATTCCAGACCCTTTTTTTCTAATAAGTAATGGCCCAAAACCCACATGTGCCCTCCTTTCTCCTAGATATGAATAAAAAAAGGTGACTGAAAACATCCCAATATCCCATGTTGAAGCTTTGCCTCTCTGTCAGCCTTGGGCGAGTAAGGCAAGGGACTTTGCCCTAAACCAGCTGATTGCCCCTCTTTCTCAGCTTTTCAAAAAGAAGACTTTTTAATTTACATATGGTTGTCTCAAAGACATGTCACTCATGCCTTGGGAAAGTGAGAAACGAACAAAATTTGAACATCAAATGCATTGCCCTACATAAGGCATCAGCCCTTGTACCGTAACAGAGAAGAAACAAATTGTATAAAATGGAAATGAGGAAAAGTATTTTCAGTCGTAATTGAAGAAACTAGGAAAGAATTAGAGCCCATGCACACAGAGATTCGTTAAAGTAATTTTGCATCATAAAAATGCATCTTAAGTTCCACAGAGGCTGGACTATTATATTCTGTCAAATAATCAATGGAAACATTTAATGATAAAAGATATGGTGGTATTACGTGAATGGTAACTAGGAAGTTTCTGTGGGATGAATGGAGTAAAAATATACTTAAATATTGAAGTTAAGGAGGCCCTAAAACGGATTAAACAAAGCAGAGCATTGGGCCGAGACAACATCTTGATTGAAGTTTGGAAAGGTTTACGAGGAAAAGGCATTTGGCTACTAACTAAGATTTTTAACGAGATTCTAAGATCTAAGAAGGTACCTAACGAATAGAGGAAGAGCGTGTTGGTCCCTATTTACAATAATTAGGAAGACATTCATAGTTGTGGAAACTATAGAGGGGTCAGGCTCATGAGTCATACAATGAAGTTATAAGAAAGAGTGGTTGAACGAAGGTTAGGACAAGAGACTTTGGTGTCAGAGGACCAATTTGGTTTTATGCGAGGAAGATTTACTACAGAGGCTATGTACTTGGTGAGGAGAATGATGGGGAGGTACCGAAATGAGAAGAAAATTTACACATGGCTTTTATTGATTTGGAAAAAGGCATATAACAGGGTACCAAGAAAAGTGTTGGGGAAGGTTTTAGAAAAAGGAGTAAGGATTGTGTATATTTGTGTGATAACGAGCGTGAGAAGTCAAAGTGGAGTAAATCACAAGAGGATTTGAATGGGAAGTTGGATTCGTGGAGACATGCTTTGGAGTTGCATGGCTTGCATATAAGTCGCACTAAAATAGAGTATGTGGAGTGCAAGTTTGGCAACGGAAGAAGAAATGGTAGCATCTGGGTGAAAGTCGGAGAAAATACTATACTACAAGTAATGAGATTTAAATATCTTGGGTGTATCATTCAAAACAATGGAGAAATAGGGGATGATGTTAACCACGAGATCCAAGCCAGTTGGTCAAAATGGTGGAGTGTTTCAGGCTTTATAGGGTGAACATGAACACAAGATTAGTGTGGCAAAAATAAAGATGCTTCGTTGGATGAGCGATCATACGCGTATTGGAAGAATAAAGAATGAAGATATGAGAGCTAAAGTTAAAGCGACACCTATTGTAGAAAAGATGGTGAAAACTTGTCTTTGGTGATTTGGACATGTGGAGAGAAGACCATTAGAGCATCGGGTGAGAAGGGTTGATCAAATGGTGAAATGACATGTACTTAGAGGAAGAGGTTGACCTCAGAAGACTTGGCAAGAAGTGGTGAATGATCTCAGTATCTCACATCAAATATGATACATGATAGGGCGCAACGGTGTCGTTGATCTATGTAGCCGATCCCACTTAGTGGGATAAGGCTTTGTTGTTGTTTTATTCTTTTATGTTACTTTTCATTGTAAGAGTCGATTTCTTGGGTTTGGTTAAAATAAATATTATAGCCCACTCCGAGCACACTTGTCAACAACTTTACATAAAAGTAGTAGGAAGTTTAGTTCTTTAAGTCTTTTGTTTCTTTTCATAGTTCAACGACCCCACCCACTCACTTACATATGGGGACTAAACAAGTATGTTCTCCTTCTCTTTTTACAAAGCAAAGTTGTTATGTACACAAAGTGGGTACATAATAAACAAAAATCATTTTGACTCTTTTAATGTTTGCTAATAATTGAAGTGCTCAATGTGTTTTAGTAACTCTACAATATAAAATATGTCTACTTTTTAGATATTGTCAAAGTATAACAATTAGTAATAGTAATCCTAGGGTCTAAACTCTAGCCTATTGTAGCTCTGTAATGTTATTTTCATTATAAGCATTTTTAATTGTATTGAAGTGCTTTGTCAAAAAAGAGTTGAGATTAAATAAAGTTTCAAGTTGTCTATATAATTTAAATGAGAGTTGAATTATTCAACTTGGTGTCCGAACATAACCATAAAATAATGGTAGCATAAAAACCCATAGTCCTAAAGAAGTCTCCCGTTGTGAATAGTAACAACAAAATTTATATCACTTGGATTCGAAGCATCTCACATAGATGTTCACTTGTTTGCAGAAACCTATCATACCATCATTCTCTTGTTGCGAAGCTTTGCTTCAAAGGCCATAAGTGCTTGGTGCCTTACTTTCTACCACATGATACCAATGCCTCGATGACTTTTGGCCACATTCTACTTAGGGGACACTAAAGATGACGTAGTTCCCAAAGATGCATTCTGGAGATTGCCAAAGTTCCCAAAGATTAAAGGTTCATGTTTGAGGAGTATCAAGGATGGCGTAGAGATTCATTGAAACTTATGATTTTTTAGAGTTGAGTAGAACCTTTTTGAAGCTCATAGGTTAGTGTATAAACTTGTAAATATCATAGATATCTGTGTAGATAATTCTAGAGATGTAATGGTGGCCATTGGATGAAAACAATCTGAGTTGTTCGTTGAGGTGGTGAAGTATAGAAGGGGTGCCCATTTCATTTGCAACCATCCCAAGTGTTGTAAGCATTCACCAAACATTGATACGAAGTTCTCTACGTGTTTCGACATTCCAACTCTCTCCGTGCACCATGTGCTTATAAAATTTATACTCCCTTCGTCCCCATAGATCTTCCCATTAGCCCTTTTTATTTCTCCCTCATAAAATTTCCCATTACCTTTTTTAACATTTAAAGTACCAGAACTACCCCTACTTACTTTATTTATTACACCTCACCCACATTTAATATACTCTACCCATTTTCTTTAAGGGTATTTTGGTAAACTTTTACCTTTTTTCAACTCTATTTAAAAATCACAAAAAGTCAAAACGAGAACATCTTAGGGGGGCGGAGGGAGTAGTTTTTTTCTGAACATTGTGGCGCATAGTTCATTGGTAGCATAAAGTTTCATTGTGACGCATAGTTCATTGGTAGCATAAAGTTTCATTGTGACACATAGTTCATTGGTAGCATAAAGTGATTGTCGGTATCAAGGCGATGTTGGAAATTCATTGAAATGTTAAGGGAGATGGTTTCCAAAAATGGCACTACTCATGTGAAGGAGGTAGCCGAAAAGAAATGAAGGGTCCGTGGGAGGTCAAGGTAAGGGAAACCTTAGAAGAGGTGGTGGTCTGATTAACCAAGTTGAAGCTTGCATTGGCTAAGGAGGAGGATTGGAGTAAAGGTTTGAGGAGATGGGTAAACACATAGGAGATTGGAGGATATGTTCGAGGAGTTGAGGAAACACATATAAGATGGCTAGAGAACATTATACATTGTATCGAATCCACATGTTTTCTATCACAAAACTAAGTCAAGCAATTGATTTTAAGTTATAATAATGTTCAATCATTCTAATTAATTTCCTGGATTTAAAATATATACAACATTTACCATCTTAATGAGAAAATATACATAAAAAGTATATTTTTTACGACATGTTATGGAAAATATTCACTTCCACATAGATTGGGTCATGTGCGTTAATTATTGGCCCACCACTTCCACCATTGACCCAACTTTTTGACCTATTTGACGATTAATCCATGTTTCAAAACAATGTTTAGAACTATGTGATTGAAGTTTGATATATTCAGAATACATTCTTTAGATATATCTACAAGTGGGGTACACAGACCCTACTCCTACTTAAAAAGGTAAGAAGGTTTTTTTTTGAAAGACCTTAACTCAAAAGAATACAACAGAAAACACAGATGAGTGAAGTCCAACAAAATGTAGGGGAAAACATATAGAAGAGACGCAAGAAAAGGAAAGTTACCAACAAGGAACTAAAACAAAAATGACTAACGTCGAGGGCCCAAAACACCAAGCTAACCAATCTTATTGAAGTCCACCTTACAACTCTAATCTATGATCTCTAAAGGTCTACTCGACAACCTATTCTTTGACATCCACATGTTTTTGTCGACTATCACATCTGCCTGTCTAATCATTGCCTCCTCTTTAGTCTACTTCTACCCTTCCTCAGATCCCCTAAGGCCAACCTCTCGCACCTCCTATCGGTGCTCTTCCTTCTCAAACCACCTCAGTCCAGCTTCACACATCTTATCCTCAAATGAAGCCACTTTCACTATCTCTTGGATAGCAATAATAACATCGTTCCGAACAAAATACCTTATCATCTTCATTTTCACTACCATTATCTTCTGCATGTGGGTTTTCTTTACTACCCAACACCCTGTCCCGCATATCATAGAATGACTGGCCACTGCTCTATAAAACTTGTTTTTCTGTTTTAGTGGCATATTTCGTCACATCCCTAAGGCCAGCCCTCATTTCATCCAACTCGCTCCGATATGATGGGCGACAACCCTGTTAACTAGTCATACCACAAATGATCTAAAAACTGCATGGCTTTATTTTGTACAACATTTGTTACCATGCATTGTGGTTGTCGCCAAACCGGTTAATGTATTGTGCTTTCAAAAGTTCATAGTACAAAGCGGCGCTATAAACATCCGTCTTGGGCTTGGCAATGACATGTAATATTGCAATTTTAAATGTGTGCTTCTTGCAACCATACTATACCACCTATTTTATAATGAAACAATGTTAAATGCTTAGAGCCCAATAGAGTAGGTGTTTGCATGCATGCGTTATAGCTATGGGTTCTGTTAGAATATATAAAAATCATTCTTGGACCACAACCACAAGCTTGAGCTTTTGGTTGAGTTGGTTCCTTGACATGGTATCGGAGCCTTGATGATTAATGGGTCACGAGTTCGAAACTCAACGCCACCCAATTTATAAAAAGTCAAGGTTTCACGTGCAAGGCTCAAAGAAGTCATGCCTGCACGTGAGGGGGCATGTTAGAATATATAAAAATCATTCCTGGACCACAACCACAAGCTTGAGCTTTTGGTTGAGTTGGTTCCTTGACAGGTTCAAAAGCCGTGCAAGGCAGGCTCAAAGGTTTGTCCTAGTCGAGAGAAACAAGGCCTGTGCCTTGATGTCACCGAGGCTCAGAGGCTTAAGGGCACAAATGCTATCATGGCTCTTAAGCCTTCGTTTTATAGGGGAATTTTGGAATATAGCCTTATTTAGAGTAGCTTATTTTTTCAAAGGATGGGCTTTGACAAGGTGTACTTTTGCTCCTCGCCCCTCTTTTCTTTTGTTTTTTTCTTCACAAAAACATACACAAGTGCAGAACACATCTTCTTTACTCCCTTTATCCCTTCTATAAATGAGCCTCTCCATTAGTCGGTCAAAAGATTTCAGCATTCACCACTAGCCAAGTAGCCCTCCACTGCCAACTAGAGGCCTTAAATAATGATACATTGAGCGGTCCTCTTACTTTTGAAGATTAATAATTCCACTTGTAGAATCTTAAATCTAAAACATGTTCTTAGTTTCTATTAAGGTGGGCAAGGATATTATATTCTTTTATTTCATAAATAACAGTATATTGAGGGGTCCTTTTAGTTTTGAAGATCAGTACTTTCCAAATTTAGAATCTTAAATCTAATATATTTTCTTAGTTCTTATTAAGGCTGGCAAGCATATTATATCCTTTTATTTCATATTGACTAGCTGTTTTTTCCTTTTTGAACAATATTATGTGAGATTTTATCAAGACTAAAAGTTTTTATACCTTTGAATTATTACTATGAATTATCTATTTTCCCATATTTTCATCATTTTATTTATATAAATCTGAAGCTTGTGCCTCACATTGTCTCGGTATGTATACCTCTTGAGACATAGACAGACCACAATGAGACCCAATTTTGCCTTTCAGAATCTTGGTTATAACTAGGGAGTCAATTGTATAGCATCTCGCCTGCTCAAGATTTGTTTTTGTTTCCTACAGGTATTAGTAGCAGGTTGTGTTCATTCAATGTTTCTTGATGTTTCTCTAAATGTTTGGTTTATTTCAAGGAGTTGTTTAATTGTCGTGAGGTTTAAGGAATTGATATACATATCTCTTTTACAGTTTTGTTTTGTGATTGTGTGAGTTTGCCGCTCAAATTCAGCTTATTGTCTTCCCTGATATTTGGGTTTAAGTAGGTTGGTTGAACTAAGTGCAAGCTTTTCAGCTTCAAAATGCTAAAAACATTGAAAAACACATTGGTAGAAGATGGCTACTTACTACATAGTGTAGAATCTCAGACGCTACCAACTCTACTAAAACCAATTGGTGCTAGGAGAAGTGCATACTTTAGCCTTACAATGCACTCAGCACACAGAAGTGCCCACGACATTCAAGTGTGACTTGGCTCGCATAGCCTCTTCCACGAGACAAATGATGCACACATGGCCAACTATCTCTCCTCAGCAATTGCTCCTGCTCCCGCTGGGATTCAAACTCGTGACCTTGGCTCTGATACCACTTGTAGGACCTCAGATGCTACTAACTCTCCTAAAACCAACTGGTGTTAAGAGAAGCACATACCCTAGCCTTATAGTGCATTCAACACACACAAGTGCCGGCCAACACATAATTCAACTCATTGATTTTTTTTCTTTCTTGAAGTCAAACACTCGAGTTGGAATCGGACAACTTTCATTACTTCTTCCTTCGCATGCAATAGTGCAATACATCTACTTTGGACTATTTATAGTCATATTGTGTCTGCGGGTGTGCATATTCATAATGTGTTTCGGTTTATATTGTGATTTTCATCTTCTTTGTTCTTGTGGGGCTCGTGCTTTTCCTTGTGCTTTTCTGAATGCCACAAACTTCAGTGCCTCTATGGAACTCTTATCCTTGTTTTGGCTTTTTGATTTATTATTTTTTGTGGTGTATTTCTTATTTCTTATTTATGTGTTATAATAAAAGCATGTATTATTTTTTATTTTAATTGTTAATTTTTTTTAATTCTGATCTTCCATTTTGTTCCAAAGCATGCCACTCTTGAGGAGATAATGTAGCTGATGCTTGTCAACATTCAACAAGGGTGTTATGGATGTAAGTGTAAGAAAGTGCAGATCTCTTTGGGATTCGGAAGAGGATTCTTCTCATCATCGGTTGGATGTAATAAATACATGGGCTGCAAAGGGCGATTATCCCAGTCATGATGGAAGAAGTTTCCAGGAGCAGGGTTATTCAAAAGCTGATAGCTCATCCAAAAGGCATTCCGGCTGGAACCACTCTCCCCAAAATAGTCTTCTGCAATCATGTCAGAGAATCCGCAAGGATGTAGAGCGGCTTGAAAAGGAAGATCATAAGAGGGGAAAGTTTTATAGTGAAAACGGGTCTCCAACTTTTGATGCACTGAGGCAGCAAAGGAGTAACAAGTTCTCTGAACATGGTTCGAGTCATCCTCACAGGTATTTGACATTTTGACTTTATATTCTCGTATGATGCATATTTTTGATGGATTACACATAAAAGATGTCAGGCTTTCACATTTAAATGCATACTGGAAATGCCTGCCAGTGGAAAGACATTATAATTTCCCCTACAGAACAACAACAAAGCACCAACAACATATAGAATTCAGAGAAGTTCATGTTTTCTTGAGTGAGAGACAGCAGTCTTTGGCTTATTTTGAAGTTCTTTTTATCAATTTAAGTAATGTTTTGACTTCACATTTTTTGTAGTATTGACAGGAAAAAGATAACTCTTAAAATTCTCTCCTGACGTGCATTTGTTGCCTATTGTCTAATAGGCTTCCAGGAAGAGGCAGGAGCAGGAGTCCTGGAAGGGAAAAAGGCAGGAGCAGAAGCCGCAGCTGGAGTAGAGACAGAGAATGGAGGAGTAGAAGTAGAAGCAGGAGTAGGGACAAGGGAAATTCGAGAGACAGGAGAAGTCGGTGTTCTCCAAATTATAATGTTGATTCATTTGAATGTGATCGTAGACAGATTGGATCTCGAATATCATCAAAGGTCTGTAGAGATTTCGCCATTGGGAGGTGTCGGAGAGGTGGTGATTGTTGGTTCTCTCATCCAGATAATTTTAAAGTCAAGGATGGATATTCTGCAGAGCACAACCTGACAGAAAGATGGAGTGGCATGCACAGGAATGGAGATGTCTCAAGATATGCTAATAGTGAAAGTGAAACCATTGAAATCCATTGTCAGGGTAACATTCCTGATGCCTATGACATTGAGAATGACCAACCCAGGAATAGTAGAGGTATCATTACTTGCAAAGATTTTGGAAGAGGTAATTGCCGATGGGGAGCATCATGCAGATTTTCTCATTCCGGGTATTCTGGTCAAATGTATGATAGTAGTATTAGGAATGCATCCTCTGACTACAATTGGAAGCCTGATCCAAGTAAAACTAGTAGACCTCTGTGCAAGTACTTCGTTGCTGGAAAGTGCTATACTGCAAATTGCAGATTTTCTCATGACGGTCCGATACGAATCAATGTTGAAACTAGTCACTCTAATGACATAGGTGGCCACAGATATGATGATAACAAACACAACTTAGTTGGCTTAAAATGGGATGACGTAGAAATGGATCCTAGCTTCGATAAGGCTCCTATGGGTGAGTATGTAGCAAAATCAAACCATTTGGATGCAGTTCATACTGATAGAGTTGACCCCATCGGGGATCCTGACTTGGTAAACTCAAAGTTGTGGAATGAATCAGCATGGGATGTTGGTACTGCTAAGATGTTGAACCTAGAGAAGACTAGTGAGCAGGTTGGCTCTACTGTGAGGGAAAACTTTGCCATTGCTGTACCTGTTGATCATAATAATAATCGTTGGGCTCACAATTTGGAAAGTGAGCGAGCTATGTGGCAAAATACCACTTCGTGTGAGGGGCGAGATGTGTATCCTAATGTTACAGCAACAAACACTTCTGAATATTCTCTGGAGAGTTTAAGTAACAATAAAGAATGTAATGTTATTTCAAAAGCTTCACAACTCCCAAGCCTGGTTGTAAGCCCAATTCATGGTGAAAGACAGGACACAATGGAAGATGCTTCCCGCGTCATATTTCCCTCCAATTCCATTCTCCCTTACGGATCTCCAAATCCTCATCTTGAGTCATATCCTTTTTGGGGCACTGGTAATTCCAGTATGTCTAATGTATTAAATGATGTAAACATCTACAGGCATAGTATCCATCCAGAGTTATTACCTGAACAAAGATTCAGTGAAATTAGTAAAAGGGCTAACCAAGGTTCTGAATACTCCTCTTTTTTGGATGGAGCTGCCCAAGGTGAGCCTATGATGCATGCCATCCCTTCAAATGGACATAGTATCATTCCAAATGATAGTACAGACTATCAGAAGAAAGAAGCTGCCACTACATCAGAGGTGCAACATTTTAGCATGACACAAAATCTTTCTGGTGCTACATTCAGTGTGCCAACCACTCGAATGCGATCTCCAGCTCCTCTAACAAGTGAGATTTGGTATGAATCAGGCAAATCTCAACAGCATGCAGCTGTACCTTCATCAGTTGTCTGTTCTGATTCCAACTCTGGACTGCTTCCCACCTATAATGCTGTGTATACTCAACTTGATAAAGTGAAAATTGCTCCAGATCTGTGCCAAGCGGCCCAAGCCCGTGGTGATAAATCTCAGATGCCTGATAACTTTGTAATGCATGCTAACGCCTCCAAATTGAGTGAACAGGGAACTAAAGATACTTTAAAGGAATTGAACCAATCATTTTCCTTGAATTCTGAAGTTGGAAACATAAAGCATTGTGCTGCTTCCAATGTCGATTGCACCAAGGAGCAGTATTTGACACACCCGGATTCTGTTGCAAAATCTGAACTCAATGAAAATAATAGACTTATTTCCAAATGTTCTGAGGATGAGCAACAGAACAATAACCCTGATAATGTCGACGTCCCTGGCAAGTGTGAAGTGGTGAATGGTAACAAAGATGATAAGGTGGCACGGCTGTTCAAGATTTCTCTTATAGAATCAGTCAAAGAGATCTTGAAGCCCACATGGAAAGAAGGTCAGATGAGCCGAGAAGTACACAAGACTATTGTTAAGAAGGTGGTTGATAAAGTGATGGGTAGTATTCAAGGAGGTCATTTCCCTAAAACCCAAGATAAAATTGAGCACTATCTTTCCCACTCTAAAGGCAAAATCAGCAAACTGGCACAGGTGAATCTTATCCCGTTTCTTGGCTAATGTGAAGTCGATCATTATTTCTTACATTTGTTTTCCTGGTTTTATAAAACCTGTTCAAGGGGCCATGCTAAAATGGTTTGATTAGAAGCAAGGTGCATTTGCCAACTGAAGATAATATAAATATGCTAAATATGGTTTGGTCGTGTCCAGTGTTGAAGTGGTGATTCACTAAAGCTGTAGGAGCTAGTTAATGTAAGGGTATACAAAAGCTAATAAGGACGGATGTTTCTTTTAGAAAAACGGCTGCACTAGGAGTTGTCCCGAAGAGAAATCGGACGAGATATATAATCCATATAGGGGGTGTTTGGTAAAGAGTCTTTTGTGAAAAAAAGAGTACTTTGTGGGATAAAGGAAAACTATTAAGTGTTTGGTGAATAAATATGTGGTCTCAAAAAGCTAATTTACACGAGGTTTGTTATTCAAGCTTTTTGTAGCAGTTAGTTTTCAAGCTTGGTTTACAAAAGGTTTGCTTTCAAACTTTTTAGAACACCTATACAAATAACTAGCACGAACTAGCATTTAACAAGTTGACAAACGAGGCAGTAACTGACCCAAACTAGGGATTACGGTGCAAGTCAATTACATTTCTTGTACATTGCACACATTTATTCATGTTGATGTAGTCTTATTGAAATGGGATGAATGGTGCACCTTGGGGTGCTCTTTTACTCTTTAAGAAACAATGATAATCTGTTGTGTCCCATTAAAAAGGTCACTTATTTTCTCCAAAAAAGAATCTAATTCAAGCAAAATAAGCTTATTCATATCACATTTAAGTACTTTCTAATAATAAAAAAAGTGTCCCTAAGTTGAGTGTGTTAACTTTATTTAAACCATCAAATACATTTAAAAAATATACTCCCTCCCGTCTCTAAAAGAACCTTCTGCTTTTCTTTTTTCCGTAGTCCCAAAAAGTTTAAATTTCATTTAGGGAAAGAAATAAGTGGCTTTGCAACTTTCACCATACAATTCTACTCTACCTTAAACTTTGTGAAAAAGCAAACAAGGACTTTTAGGGACGGACGAAATAATTATTTTTTGTGACTCCTAATAGTTGTACCTTACTAAAATTTAAAAGTTATACTATTGTTCAACCGGGAAGATGAAATGTATATTCTGGTCTCTCAAAAGACAATGTTTTAAGCTTTGGTTTATACTGATCTGTTGATTCTGTTCCTCTGAGAAATTTCAGCCTCATGTTGACCATCTCTTTTATCTTGCAGGCATATGTTGAGAGAAGTCAGAAGGAAAACTCTTGAGACATTTGAAATTCAGAATTCCCCTTCTCCTTTTATTCGCGACCTTAGTCGCCTAGATTTTTTTTCTTCCTTTTTTATCCCCATTAGTTTGTGTTAATTATAGTTTTCTTTTCTAGCAACATGCACTTTTGATTAGTCTTTTTCTTTGGGTGTCAAGTGTTCCCCATAAGCTTATCTTCTCATAGGCCTCAGTATAACCATTGGGCATAAACTAACTATTGATGTGTTGCTAGTTGCTAGTACACTTGAAGACATGTTATGTGTACAGATTAATAAATCTGTTGTACTTTTTGTTTTAAAGGCATATGGTCTCACAAGTAAGATATGGGGATTGGGTGTGTACATATTGTAATTCTTCTAATAAAAGTAGATGAAGACATGGAGTTAGATAAACTAAAAATATTCCTTGTGTATTATTGTAAAAATAAGCATTATCTCTCTATTAGGACAAACTGTTTTCTACTTAAAAAAAAGAATCACATATTCAAGGGAGAGACTATCATTCATGAGGTAAAACACTTTGCCGCGCGATGGACATTCTTCGATCTACTTGCTGGGGTTACATAAAGAAATTCTACGTACGACCACTGTCTGTTATGCTTGGCACGCATCCCCGCGTGCCGAAGCTGCTGGACGCGGGCGTCGGGCTCTGGGTGTTGGTTGAATTATCTCGACGTTTCGGCTTCAAGTTTGAGCCTCAGCTTATTCTTTTTTTGACCTTCTTCTGCTGTTTGATACATACTCAGTAATATTTAAAATTCATTAACTTTTACAGAATTAACTGGTTATTAATCTCTAATTATAGGGAGTACCCTGTATACTTCACAATTGGATTTAAGACTTTTTTTGACTTTTATTTTGACTTTTTACGCATATTTATAGACACATAATAATATTTGAAATATTTGTGAATATCTATTTAAAAAATGATGTCAAAGTTAAGAAAATGATGAATCCCATTTTCGAGACGTCCTTCAAAACTGGCTTGACGGTCACTTGAGAAAAAGTAAATTGAGTTATAATTACACACCAATTAGTAAATAGTAAAATCTACATCTCTTACTCGTAAGAGCTATATTGCTTAGCATACTTGTCTTATTGTTATCATTTCTACTTCATTTACCTATTTTTAAACGTGATTGTCCCATTTTTTATTCACTTGTCAATATTTTTTATACCGAGTACTCCATTACTTAAATGAAGAATTTTAGCATTTGAATTAAATATTTGTATAATTTAAAATTAAATTCCGGTAGATAAACACTAAGACTCTATTTCTTCGGTTGAAATTCTAAGATGTTGGGAAAAATTGGAAAGTGTTGTGAAAAATTGGAAAAAGTTAAAAAATGTTAGAAAAAATAAAATGTTAAAAAATCTCACAATTAAATGATCACCTAAATAAATATGTAAAAAAATTAATTTGGATATAAAAAATTATTCATCTTGTTTGAAGTGTTATGTTATAAATTTGAAATATAATGTTATTATATAATGATCATATTCAAATACATTTTTAATAGTTATTGGAAGAAATTAGAAGAAGTAAGAAAAAATTGGAAGAAACTGAAAAGACTAAAAAAAGTTTGAGTTTAATTTTTCAACCTATAAGAACATAGCATACATGGTAATTAAAGATGTGTGTAGGGCCATATAAAAGTTAGCGTTGTGATTTATTGTTACAGAAATAAATTTTAAAAAATTGATAAGTTTTAAATTTTTACGTGTCATTGATCTGGCACTGATTAACCTATACTTTTGGATTTTCTTTTATAATCACCCTAAAAAATATGGTATACTTTGTTCAAATTTGTTTCCAAATTTTTATTCTTTCACATTAGCAATTATTAGTAAATCAGCGAATCAAGTGATTCAGATTTAGATCCAAACCCCCTATTGTGAATCTCATTGTTTGGATTGAGTTCATTTTCTTCAACATTTATTTATGAGAAGTTGTACTCTAATTTGAATTAATGATTTTTTGACTTTTTTATTTAAGAGAAGTTATACTCTAATTTGAAATAATGATATTCTGATATTTTTTTAAAATAATCATTTTATCTTTACTTGGCTACTATAGACTATAGTCCTTCGTCCCCTCATATTGTAATCTCCAGCTGCACAGCACAGCCATGGCTACTCTCCTTCCTCTGTCCTTGCGAATCACTTCCACCCCTGGCTTCACAGGATATCCAAACCTCTGCTCTTCGTTCAAGGCAAATCTCTAGCTCTTTTATCTCTGTGTATTTACATTTTTGTATAGAAAGCATGGACACCGAAAAAGAGTTAAAATTTATCCAGAATTTATCAAGCCTTTCTTCTTCTTATTTTGGAGCTTCGTTCATTTTTCAGAAGGTCTTTGTTGTTGATTTCGCAAATGATAGATGAATATTTATGGCCTGTAAATTTTGCTCTATTCCTGGAAAATCTCGTCTAAAATATTGACGCATTGTTTTTAGTTTTTTTTCTTGTGTTTACTGAGAAATATAGCTTCTAGGGTTTTCTGATGTGTGCCTGTGCAATTCAGACTTTTTAATTTTTTTTTAAATATTTGCCTATTAGAAATTTTCTCTAATGGATCTTAAAAACCAAACTTATCCTGTAATCCGGTATATGCCACTCTAGAGGAATTGGTTTTAGTGTTAGTTTATCTGTAATCGAGTTGATTGTGAGCAAATTATACATACAGAGATAAAGAATGGGAACAAATAGTTTGTGCCGTAGGAGATATCTTTATGATAAATTTGTAGATAACCGAATACGAGTAGTTTTTTGTATGTGATGTTTCACGGTAGCTTCTGCACTGAATTAAACCGTAGAACCACGTAGCAGTTTGAATTGCGGAAGAGTTGAACCGAATACGAGTAATTTGGTTGTCTATGTGCTTGCCTTTTCACTTTATCCATTGTTTCCTTTTGTTCATCATTTTGTGAATATTATACATCATCCGGATATGCTTTTACTGTTTTTAGTACAAGTGTACCAATAGGATCTATTTTCTTGTTAGAGTGTTAAAATTTTGAAATGCTGGCTTTAGCGTATACTAGTTCTGCTTTTTTTGAATTGGCTGGCTAATACATTTGACTAGTCACATATTCACATTGAATTTTAGTATGGTGTTTTCAAAAATAAATAACAATTCGTTCTAGTAATGGCTGGCGAATACGACTACAATTTCATGTATATATGAGGTATATCTTTGCAGCATAATAATTTGTTTCATATTATGTCCTCATCTGGTTTTTGTTGACCCCCGCAGTGCAATGTTCTAATTGTTGTTTTTTTATCTAATTTATTTTGTATCGACAAATTCATAACATGTATAATTTAGGTTGTGTTTTTTTTCAAATACTTATTCTTCATTTTGTTAATTTTCAATACATACTGGAATGTTTATTATGGCCTCTGTAATTACCTAGATGCATAAAAGATCACCAGCAGGCAGCAACCTTTATCTCTTTTTCCATCTCGAGTCATTTTGATCTCATTTGAGAAAGGGTATGCTCAATTATGTCTAGTTGTCTACTAGCTTAATAGGTAACTTTTTTTATTATTCTTTGAGAAGTTCATCATTGTTATTTTATTTTCATTAATATATATATTTTTAATAGGGATATACGAGGACTTTGAAAGCAAATCCATGCCAATTTCCATGTGTAAGACTCAGAAAAATAAAGCCTTATTCAAGAACAACATTCACTGTATTCAACCTAGCTCCCGAATCAGCAAAGACTGATGCACCCCGGTTCCGGCTCAATAACTTGGGGCCGCAACCTGGCTCCACTAAGAACAGAAAGAGAAAGGGTAGAGGTCACGCAGCTGGGCAAGGAGGCAGCTGTGGATTTGGGATGAGAGGTCAGAAATCAAGGTCTGGGCCTGGAGTTCGAAAGGGGTTTGAAGGGGGTCAAATGCCACTCTATAGGAGACTTCCCAAGCTCAAAGGCATTGCTGGAGGTGATTTTCAAAACATTTTCAATGATACATACATGCTTACTTCATTTTCACTCTTTATCATTTCTCCTTGCATTTTTTTCTGTTTAAAAGATGGAAGCTTTTAGTGTGATGATGTTATTTCATATGAAAAGATTTTTTTTGCATATGGTTATTACCTACGTGCTTAATTTGGAAAAAGAGCATTACATGTGCTTGTTAGCATTTATTTTCAACTTCAGATTTTTTTTTCTCAGTTCAAGTATCACATTTCTACATATGAAGTTAATTTTTATTGAAGGAACTATAATTTCCCAAGTTGCGCGATAGAGACATTTATATGATAAATTTGGATTGAATGAAACTATAGAGTAGTGGGACAAAACCACTTTATTTTAGTGTGATGATGGTATTTCATATGAAACTATAGACTCCAATCCCTTTCCCCAACTCCCCCACCATGGTTCAAAACCCTGCTCCACAAAAACAAAAATGAAATTATGGAGGGAAAATACAATTTGTCAATATCCCAAATACTGCAAAAGAAAAAAGAATTTATTTTCATCACTTATTTTCCTATCCCTTGAAAAATATCCAAACATGCCTTAATGTAAAGAAACAATTAAAAAACTTATGGAGTATTTTGTACTCAGTTTTGCTCAAAGTTCTTGATGCTCTATATTTTACACATGGTCCCTATTGTATTATTGCGGTACAACATTTATAGATAAAAGATCAGTCTCAAATCTGCACCCACAAGTCAAAGCAAAACAACTCAGTAATCTAACTCACGTACATCAAACAAAACAGAACGCTTCACCGGTTTACCCATTATTCATGCCAAGGTGTAGGTGGAACCCATGTTAACATTTCTGACTGGTGGAGTTGAGCTGGTCCAAAAAGGAATTATTAAAGCTCCATCAATAATTCATGTTAGGCTGTAATGGAACCTAAGAGAAAATCCGATTGTCTCTTGGGGTAGGAACACCGTTTGAAGCCCATTGTTGACTTGGGTATCCCTCTCTTTCACACTGAAGAAAATATATCTTCAGTTTCGTATGTCCAGCATGTTGGAATGCATGAGTTCTGTTGGTGATGTGTAGTCATCGGCCCAAAGTGGCCCACTTGTAGACAACTGAGAGTTAGGAGACCAGATTAGGGTTTCGGCCGGTCCAAATGGTTTTAAGCCCAGTTTTCTATAACTTGTCCAGCAAGGGTTAAACCCTAATTAGTTGTCTATATATACGATCTCCTGTACTTGTAATCATCATCACTCAATAATACAAACCCTAGTTGCCCCTGTGGATGTAGGTCAGATTAGACCGAACCACGTTAAATCTCGTGTTCTTTATCGCTTTCTTGCTTTATATTCGTGTGTGTGCTTTTGTTCTTAACAACTGGTATCGGAGCCTAGGTCATACACACAGATCTGCCTCCACTGCCAACCCTAGCGACTCTAGGGTTTCTGCCGACACATCAGAAGACCACCGAGATAGTCATCTGTGGGCAGTCCGAAAAACCTTGCTGTTCAGTTTGCTGCTGCAATTTTCGAGGTCAGTTCTGGTTGTTTGTCTCAATCTGTTCTCACGTGTTCTCTGGTCAGATCTGGGATACTCAGAAGAGATGATGTCTGAGGACGGAAAGATCAGGATAGAGAAGTTTGATGGGCAAGATTTTGGATGGTGGAAGATGCAAGTCGAGGACTTGCTATGTCAGAAAGATCTTCTTCCATGTTTGACAGGTCAGAAACCCGAGAAGATGAAGGATGAAGAATGGGCTGACTTGGATAGAAAAGCCCTAGCCGTCATCAGG